TCAATAAAACCGTTATTATTATGAAGGAGTTCGTTCTCTGATCGAAACGCGTTACTAATAAGCATTTTCCATCTTGTCATACTTGCCAATATTCTTTCATATGAATTACTTGAATTTGGACAAAGTGGAACTGTGCAATGTTCTGAAGAGTAATTGAATCACAGGAATAACGTATTGGAAGAGAAAAAAAATATCTCAGTGTAAGAAAATCGAACAGTAATTTTGCTTTATTGAAACGCTTGTTCTCGTACGGCAAATACGATGTCACAAATAAGTTGGGCGGGAAAGTTCTTCCATTTGCACCAAACTCTGCAGACCTTTCACCTTCAGACTATCTTGTGCATCGCTCGATGGAAACATTGCCTGTCTAGTCAGCGGTTCCAATTAGGCAAATATATCGAAATATTCCTCCAGCAAATGGGGAAAACATAAACTGAATCTTTTTTTCTATTACAGAACATACAACGTAACTGAAAAGCAAGCATATGATCTCAGACAGAACAAGGAAAATAATTTAATGGCTGAATAATGTTTCTAAGAATTTATAAAAGTAAAAAAAAAAAACTCTATCAATAAACTATTGGAAATTTTTTCATCAACGTAAATACAATTTGCGTGTGTGTGCGTAGCGTAGCGATTATCGAAGAAGATAGTAAAATTAATGTGTCGTGTTCAATCCGAGTCTGTTGCGCTCACTTTCGTTTGCATATTTCTAGAAGATGTAAACACTTTTAGAAAATCTGAACATTTCTAGAAGGTGTAAATCCTCATAGGAAGCTATGAATAATTTTAGAAAAGTTTGAATACTTTAAAATAGGCATGAATATTTCTAGAAAGTTATAAAGTTTTCTAGAAAGTTAAAAAGACTTCTAGAAAGATGTGTATACTCCTAGACTCAGTATGAATACTATTAGAAATGTATGAATACTTCTAGTAATGAAGTTTACTTTTAGAAAAGCGTGGACACTTCTAGAAGATGTAAATCCTTATAGAAAGGCATGAATACTTTTAGAAAGATTTGAGCATTTTAAAAATGGCACGGATAGTTCTTTAAAGTTATTAATACTATCGGAAAGTTATACTCACTTCTAGAAAGGTTTGGACAACTCTAGAATTGGTATGAATACTTTCAGAAAGGTATGAATACTTCTTACAATGTGTGAATACTTTTAGAAAGGTATGAATACTTCTAGAAAGTTACGAATACTTTTAGAAAGGTATGAACATTCTAGAAAGTGTGAATATATTTGGAAAGGTATGAATACTTCTAGAAAGTGTGAATACATTTGGAAAGGTATGAATACTTCTAGAAAGCTATGAACTTTTCTAGAAAGGTGTAAATTCATCTAGTAAAGTGTTAATACTTCTAGAAATATATGAACAATTTTGGAAAGGTATTAATCCACTTCTTTTTCTCGCCATCGGCTCGGTGTAAATAGCAGTGCAGCCTATTCTCTATAAATTAGTTTGTCAACCAGCCGAAGAGAAGGAAAAAAAACATCTCAGAACTCAAAACTGTTTGTGTATGAGACTAGAAAACTCAAACCGTCAAGCTTACTCAATGAAAACAGCGCCAACAGTTAATGTGGTGATGCTGTAGCCATATACTCTGTGTAACAGCAAAATTGTCCAAATCGTGTAACAGGAAAATTGTCCAAATCGTGTAACAGCAAAAATGTCCAAATTGTGTAACAGCATAATTGTCCATCTCAAAAATATTTAACATCTAAAATAAAAAAAAATAAACGAATTGGGTTTCTTTCTTCCAGGTTTTCATTTATGACGTTTAACCATCTTGATGCCATTTGTTGTAACAATCACGGTAAAATCGTTTTGTGTCAGTCCCACTGTCTTCTTAGCTGAGCAATGATGAGAGGAAAAGGATCATTCAGGCCTTCAGTAAAGTAAATTCTCTGGTTTCCATTTTCAAAGTCTATTCAAGAGCCATCAAGAGAACGGTGAATAAGTTTAAAAAAGAGGGAACAGTAGAGAGGAAGACTGGATCGGGAGGTCACAACAGGAAGAGGGATCATCATTTCAACTAAAGAGATCAATTAGAAAAGAATAAGACGTTTTGCACGTGAGAGAGTAGTTTCAGCTATGACAGTCCAAATAGCTGTGAAAAAACAAAACAAAACAAAAAAAAAACAAACTTGATAATGAAATCGTACTTGGCACTTGTGGGGCATTAGAGGACAAAAAGTTAGAAGGTTAGAAAGGGCGAAGATCATCTTGAATAAGTCGGAAAATTCCTAAAATAATACATACATACGTGTGTATATATATATATATATATATATATATATATGAAAGATTGAAATAAAGTTCATATATATATATATATATATATATATATATATATATATATATATATATATATATATATGAACTTTATTTCAATCTTTCATGAGCATCCGATCCTTAGTTATGATTAATTAATGATGATCATGTCATTTTCCTTTATGATCGATTTCATCACGATTCTTTTGTTAAGCTTGGAGTGTAATTATACAGTCTTATTACTCAAAGAAGAGTCCAGTAGCGTTATAAAAACCCCGGAGAATTTAAGTACGATATCTTTAACCATTTCTAAGATACATCGGTTCCAAGCTAAATCTAACAATTGGATAGTTTTGCTGTTACACGATTTGGGCAATTTTGCTGTTACAGGCGGCATTCCTTCGGGCAGTCTCCAGGTTTATGCTACAACGACAACGCAATTTCTGTCAACTCGGAAAATGTCGATTACGTTATATCAATGGAAACTCAACTGTTTCTCTTGCTACGATAAAGGTTTATCTTAATAGTATTACAATTCTATTTACTGGTTTAAGAACACATAATTAGCAATACATGTACAACGTAAACTTATTTTGTGGAACAATTTCCTCTTGTAGACTGAAGAATTAAGATTATGTGGATAAAGGGTAACATAAAAAAAATATCATTATAAGTAACAGAAGTCGCGTAATTTTATGGTCGGAATTTCTAAGAAGTGTTGATGATATTATATATTGATTCTTCAGAAGATTCTTTGTTACGGTTCTCTTTTATTAAAACATTGCGTTCTCTTGGATTCCACGAACTTTTGTTCGGTAATCTTCATATATACACCATGTCAGTCATAGTTTTCTCAATAGAAATACAACTCAACTAAGGTTCCCGAACGTCTCACATGTCGAACATATCGGTTTTCTACCAGAAAATTCGAGATGAAAATGCTTCGGTTATCAAAGACAACTTCGGTTCACCAACATTGCCGAACCGTTCCGAAATATTACCAGCAATAAAAAATTTTTTGTCAGCATTAAATAACCCATTGAGGTGTTGATATGCCGTAAAACAAAATAAACTAAATAATAAACAACAATTGCAACGGTTTTGTTTTCTTCAACAGTATACTGATCCTGAGAGGCACATCTAAATGTTCGTTTTGCAGTCATACCTTTTCAATTTTCATACTTACCTGGCACAGGGCCCATCCCTGTGCTGGTGGTATTACGGCTACGACTAGCTTAGACCAGCTCTGACCAGCTTGGACGATCTATGATCAGCTAAGACCAGCATAGACAAGCGGCCTGAGTGAAAATTCTCGGGTCCCCACGTTAAAAACTGACCTTGTGTCCCAACCTGACTCAGTGGGGGTTCAAGTATATCTCCATACCTTTTCAATTGTTTTTTTTTAAATAATAAGAAAAAATAGCACATTACAGGGCTGAAATTTTGCAATGAATGATATTTCGAGTGAACTGAATCGAATTAATTTGAATTTGAATTACATTTTAAAATTCAATGAATTATAATTTGAATGCACTTTTCGAATTGAATAAATTACGATTCGAATTATTTTTTAGAATCGAATGAATTATAATTTGAATGGCATTTTAGAACTGAACAAATTACACCGTTGGAAAGTTATGAATTCACCTCTTCTACCCCCAGCTATGGGTTAATATTAAGACGTGATTCAGTAAAACGTTATTATCTCCACCCCCCATTAATGTAAAATATATTTGGGTTTAAATAACTTGAAAAAAGTTGATAAACCGTGAAAAACAAATCCATGAATCTTTATTAATTTATTCTATAGTAGCAGTTGTCATGGCATGTTTCCCCAAACAGAATAATCGAACAGATGAAAATTATTCGAAAAAAAAGCACTAAATAATTTTTTAAAAATAATTATCACCCTAGCTGTGAGTTAATTAGTAGGCCTTGTATCACAAAATCATTATTCACGACCACCTCCACGAAAACATTCTAACAATCTAAAATATTTCATAGATTTATTGATTCGTTTTTTTTTTACAGATTATCAACCCCTTGCAGTTTATTTAAGGTCAGAAAATATTTTTAGATTGTAAGAAGATTTTTTTTAGATAATAATGACTTTGTGATACACGTTTCACTAATTAATCCATAGCTTGATGAGAAGCGGCTGATTGATACCTATTCCAATGGTATTTGCCCGTATGTGAATATAACGAAATCAAATGGATATTGGAACTCGGCTCTCCGATTAACCATTCCGAGCCATTATCCATTACGCGAACGCACATACAAGCTTACAGCACCTGGTTGTCCCAAGGGTTCACCCATCTCACCCTTGTGCAAATTAATTGGAACAAAACGAATAATTACGTTATTACTTATTTTTTTCTCGTATTTTTTTTAATGAAACATGTCCCAGTGCACATGTTAGTACTTCATATGTCCATTCCACGAAAGTCGTTCCTTGCAGAACGACAATTCTGCATTGGATTTAAATCAGAAGAATTTCCAAGCCAGTCTATAGTACTTTGATTTGCTCACTGGTAAGGCTCGCCAGTGTGTTTGTGCAGCGTTACAATTTTCATGCGCTTACTTGGAGTAACGTCCTTCGCAGATAATGGCCATAGGCCAACTAATCGACAGTCGAGATAATGGTGCCTGGGCGTGATAAAAATCTAATGAAATTAGCCCGCAATTAAAAATCTAATGCAATTAGCCTGCAATTACTA